TACTGTTTAAGGGAATGTAGGTCATTATTTATATAGGATTCCATCTTGTCCATTATTTCTAGAAATTTGGTTCAACTCCTGTTTTTCAAAGGTAAGGATTGTCTTTGATTTGATAATGTGAATTCTCATTCTTTTAGATACCTTGTTAAGAACCAGTTGAAACATAAGCAAGTGGACCATCTCCATCTTCAGAGATGACATGTATGTTTACTAGCTACCAACAGAGATTATTAAGTAGAAGTCTATCCAAAAAATTGTTGACAATTAAGTCTCTAAAGGTTTTGTGGGCCAAGTCTAATCCAGCAACACTGTTTATTTTCTTTTTGCCAACATTAGGCCATATCCCATCACTGTCTAACAATCCAAAAGAGAATATTGCCAAATCATTGGCCAGTTTTCAACATGGCTAACCTTTTTCTTGCTATGGAACTTAAAATGCTTGATGATGGTGAAATAAGGAATATTTCTCTTAGATCAGTGGTTTATGACAATTATGGATTTCTGCTTTTTAAAAGGAGAAGGTGATAGTGACCACTGTGGGGAAGAGCAAAACTTTTTAGTAATTGGATGGTGAAAACAAGAAAATCATCCTAAGGGATTACATTTCCATTCCCTCCTCCACATTTGTCTTTCAGGGCAGTTGTTGGTTGCCCAGTGCACTGCTGCCGTCTCTCACTCAGCACCTCAATTCCCAGCTTAGACAGCAGTGTTATTTCTGTCAGGTGTGAAGTGATCGCCTCTGTCTGCTGATACAATGCCAGGACCAACCATTATCTAAATTGATCTTTTGGCCTTGTCCCTTAGGGAAGAGCTTGACAACAGAAGCAGTAGTATCAATCATTCATTGCCAGTCCCTTTATGATGACAGTAGTGTTCTCCTTCTGCAGATACTATGAATATTTATTTCATTTTGAATCTGGTTTTTTGGAATGAGCTTTATGCTTTTATTACCCTTATTAGTTTATGTTAGGTTCTGGTTTTATTGTGCAGAAACTTACTGTATGACCAGATTTGGAGCCATCAGGGAAAACAAGCTGAGAGCAAAGACTTTCTGCCTCCTGGATAAGAGAAGGTGCAAACCCTAGGACGGTTCTATAGGAAAACTCTCTCTCTCTGAATGCATTACAAATGTAGTCTGTATCTCTCCTGGCCTCTCATGAACTCCCACATTTATGTAGTAGGGTCTTGCTTGTATGTCTATTAATAAAAGTCTTATTTTTAGGCTGGTTTCCTTGGTGCACTATTTCTGTAAATATATCTGTTGTGTTTACTGAATTCTAATGTAAAATATTTCACTATAATTAAGATAAGACTAAAGTGAGATCATCACAACCCAGGGAGCTTGAGTAATTTTATATTCCCTGAAGAATGAGACGTTAACTATCACATTTACCTCCGTCCTCTTCCTCCAGACCCTCCATCCAACTACCCCAGCTCAACACCTTCTGGAAGCAGAATTAGACACTCAGACATTTCACTTCTCCTACTACGGCCAATCCATATCTTACCAATGTATTATAAACTACATTCCTAAGTGGGAACAGTGTTTCTACTGGAGAAGTAAGTAGTCTTCCAAGACTCCTTAACATCTTCAGGTCACTTTCCCTTTCATTCAAATCAAAAGCATGAGAATATACTAGGAACTTCTTTATGGTAACTGGGGAAAAAACAGTCTTCTGTTTCACATAGTTGACATCTAACTTTTCATGCCAAATTATTCAAGACATTAAAACCTATACCATCTTCAAAGTCCTTCAAAGAAGCGTATTTTACAATATATTAATAAATTTGAACTATCAAACACTGAATATAAAATTCAGAGTTTGATTTTGATATTTACCACTTGGGTTTTTCAATATAGTAGGCAACCCAGTTACCTTTCACTCTCATTTTAATGAAACTCAGAAGACAGCATTTTTCTTCATTTGTTCACTCGTTCATTCATTCAATTAACAATTGAGAAATGTAAAAAAATTTTCCAGTTTGTATTTTTTAAGTTTCTCATCTTTGTTTGCTGAGTTGTTTTTTTTTTTTTTTGTACCTGGATTTTTCAATGGAGTAGCTTGGATGTAAACAACCTATGCCTTTGCTATTCAAAGGATAAAAAGATAGGTTTCAACCTCCTATGTGTCAATTTGCACATTTTATGTATAGGATATTCATCCTTAAAAATTGATAAAGATGGCCTTAAAAATAGGAAATGGCTATCAGAATTTTATTCTAATTATTCTTCATATAGTCTTCATGGTAATATTTCCTTTTGTATCTTAGGATTTCCTATTTTAAAAAAAGACAACCTCTTATGATTAGTCAAGGTGAGCACTCTGTTAACTATGGAGAAGCCTGATTGGCTCCTTCTTCAACAGGACACCATCATATCTTGATGCCAATTTTAGAATTTACTTAAAGGATCCTAATGTGAATTTCCCTTTCCAGAAGAGTATACCATATCAAGACAGTATATCATACAACATCTATGAAAGAGCTTATAGAAGGAAGATTATTTGCATAAGGAATATCATGTATTTTTAGTACAGTACATTAGTATTCTGAGATCCTAATTTATAATAATATAGAATGACTTTCTCTTTTTTAACTTTAGAATTACTATTAGAAGAACTATTATCTATTTAGCTATTAGCTATTAGCCTTAAGATTACTCAAGGTTAGCACTAAATTAAGGTGCACTAGCACATAACATGGAAGGAAGGTTGGGCAATCTACTTCCATAATGATACTGCTTCAGAAACCCAAGGAGGGGTCACTATGTGTCAGATCCGACTCGAAGGCAGTGAGAGCACATAACAACAACATGTGGCACAGTGTTTCAGCACTTGCCTGCTAACTGAAAGGTTGGTGATTCAAACTCACTAGCCTCTCTGCAGGAGAAATGTGTGGCAGTCTGCTTTCATAAAGATTTATAACCTGGGGACCCCTCTGAGGCAGTTCTACTTTGTCCTATAGGGTTGCTATGAGTCAGAATTCAACTTGATGGCAATGAGTTTTGGTTTTGGTTAGCACTAAATTTGGTTTCAAATTATAAAATGACTTTAATATTTTGTGTATGTGTACAGATATCTGAGTTTCATGGTTCTATGAAATTATAACCCAAGCAAAATAAAATTTACATATGTGAATCTAGTCTAATTGTATATATATTTCTTATCCAAAATAATTATTCATATTATTCAGTTTCATTGGAATTTACATTTGATTTTTCACTTTCTCATTATTTGATAAAGGCATTCCAAAGGAGTTAGTCAGCATGTGGAAGAATTCTACAATGTTTAGGTTTGGTTACAATCTTATTGCAACTATTTGTAATTAGTTCTGACAGTGCATTTTATCATTGAGCTCATATTCATTTTCACCTCATTCAAGGTTTGGTACTTAGGTTTCTTCACATTTATGTTATATATTCTGTTGGTTGAAATAGAATAGACTATAAGAACTGAAAGATATCTTGGAGATCATCTGTACATATCTCACATTTTACAAATGAAAAAAAATGAGAACTGGACAAAGAAGAAATTGTCTCAAAGTCATTCAAAGACAGGAATTGGACCCATATGTCATAACTTCCACCAGAGTTATGTCCTCTCTACTGAGTTCCATTATCTATGATAAATCTCAATAACTTTCAAATAAATTGATTTTAAGCCAAATTTTTTGCATTCATAGGAGTGGAAATCCACAAACTTCCCTGCAAGTAATTATTTTTTTAGCTAAACTTCACTATGATCAGAACAATCTTCTAGGGCTTGCATATTTTTATTAATTAGCAGGAATAATGATAAAACTATAATTGATTACAATACATTAAAATGGCCTTAACATTCTTTATCAAGTATGATTTTTTAAAAAAACCTCACATTTTCATATCAGAAATATGAAAATTTCTATTTATTGGTTGATTAGTTTAAATGCCTAAAAGCCATTCATTAAATAGGCAATGAAAGTTTTAAATGTTTGCTGTGAGCCTGGCACTGTACTAAGCACATGTTTACACCATTATCTTCATACATTCTTTTTCAATTAAATTTAACATACATAATACCATAAAAAGATATAACAGTAACATTGTTGAAGTGCTACCAATGCATAAAATCAGTAATTTCCCTTAGGAATTTTAAATTCTTAGCATAGATTGGGGTTAGTAGTATGTTTTATTCCATTAAATTTAATGCCCTTATTAATGTTATTAATGGCTAAATGGTAAATCATCCTGATACTTCAACATAAAAAGATTGGTAAAATATAAAACTTTTCCACTGAAAGTCATGGAAAAAACATGTTTCCCAACTCCTTTTTATTTCCTCACACTTCTATTTCTCTTAAGACAACACAGAACTTTGATGGCATAGAAGATTTAGATAAAGAAAGTGTGGGGAGAAGTCTATTTTTGGCCTAGGTAGATAATTTTAAAATGCAATACAAGTTTGTTGTAACATGAACTGATGAGGATACCACTGATTCCATTCTGTTCAATAACTATACACAAATGCACAAGTCCCCAAATGCATTTTTGAGCACAGATTGTTTTCTATCATGGAAATATTCTTTGAAAGGAAATCAGATCAGTAAAACTATAAATTCTCTACACCTCAAATAAGTTACAAGTATTTTTTAGTGAGCATTTACTGAGGACCATATTAGAGCTCCGAATGAGTTCTGCTAGAAAATAATAGATCACATTTCAGTGTGAATGATATCATTTACATTTTGTTTAATTTATGAGCATTTTGAGCTTAGGGCATAGAGTTTAAATTTTCAAATTGGCTTGGTTTATCAGCTCTGACTATAACATTAGTAGATTTGCCCTGTTCCAGGAAATATTTTTAGGGAAATAGTTCAACTTTTGCAATTTGAAGAAATTAGAATTAGATTTTCAATCTTGCTTTTCAAAAAAGAAAAATGAGAAAGCATCTCACCCAAAAATTGATCCTTTCACAGATTGTTAAGGTTTATCAACAGTGGTTTAAATAAAAGACATTACTTACTGTAATTGTTCTTCATCTCTTGGGTCCCTTTTACTTTGCCTCGTTTATCAATCCTCAGATACCACTGTGTTCGACAGAAGAGTCTTCTCACTCTTATATCCCCTCCTTCCATGTAATCATAACTTCTTGTATGTCGCTCGGGGCTGGAACAGTTCACATTTGTAGCCATTTGCTCTGGAGTCATGTCATTGCAAGCTAAAGATATAGTGCCCACTAGACAGATAATGTGAAAGCATGATCTGTAGAGCAAAGTTGGCAGGATCCATGTCAGTATCCATTTGTGCATTATAGTGTAGTGCTCCGGGTGTTCATGAATAACATAATGAGAAATAAATCTTGAGTTGATTGTTCCTCCTAGGTCATTGACCTCTTCCTATCTGTGAAATGTAGATTGATTTAAGAAAGAGTAGTTGCTCTTTCCAAATTGTTAGCCTTATCCTTTTAGTTCCTGATATCAAAATAGGATTCCTCCTTAAAAACTCTCTTTTGGTATATCCTCATAAAAAGAAGTTGTAATATGCTCAGTTGCTGTGATGCTGTTTGCTACTTGACTTCTGTTTGCAAGAGAGATTAAGAATAGGAGGGAAGGAGAGAGGATGAAAAATTGTATTATAAACTTCAATAGGTAAGTCTTACTATAACCTATAGTGCAGTTTATACTTTGAAGGTACATTTAAAACAGCTTTCACATCTTTAACACTATGCATACAGAGATTTATAAAAGTTCTGCTTAGTAGAGAGAGACAAATCAGAATATGATTGTACCATTCATTCCTGCTGCTATTTTGTATGAAACATCATGCAATTAGAGCTATTGGTTTATATTAGTTTTAAAAGTTACTATTAACAACATGTAACTACTTTCCTCAGATTTCTTTATTACATGCTTTTACATTAGTAGTTAACCAATTATTTTCTCCCCAACTGCTCACATTTCTCAAATTAAATGTCAGGATTGCTCTGGAGAACTTCAACCTTATCTTCATGTAAATTCTACACCATAATTGCTATAGATACATGTCTCAAAAATCTAGTAACTTTACTTTTCCCCTCAGCACTAAAAGCAGAAAAAAATATATGAAGTATTAGAGATTCAGCGTTGTTTTTTAAAGACAAATAACAGTAACTTACTTGTTCTGTTGATAACAGCTGGATACACAAGAATTCCATGTCTGTTGCCTGCCTTGTGCAACTTGAGCCTCTCTACTGTAGCTACAAACTATTTCTCAGCTGAGAAAGTCTCCAGCAGAATCATAATTGTTTCCATAAATCAACAGGCAAGAGGATTTCTCTCTTGTGTATGAGTGCGTGTGTGCTTGTGTGTATGTGTGTGGAGCCTTTTATTCAGAGCTTTTCAATAAATACCTTTGCTGACCTCATTGGAAGCAATTAAAACTTAACCAGTGAGCTGTTAGTTGACTACAACAGCAAGAATAAAAGGAAGCTTATGTAGAATTCAGTGGTCATCAGAGGGAGCTGTGAACATAGTTTATGCTTAAATCTACAAGTGGATACCTACTTTATAGAAACAGATCTCTGACCCTGAAGTAGTTGGAAGATGGAAAAGGAATTTTTTAAAACCCTCTTTACCCCAAAGACATTGTATATACCTCAGAAAATATTCATTTTGACACATATATGAAGGCATTTTTTAATAATTAGAAACTTTTCTACAGTTAACTCCTTTATGTTAGGATAAAAATACTAATGTGTATTAACTCACATCTTAGTATCTTAAAGCACTATATATCTTCCTATAGAGATAATTCACCATAGCGTATTTTTTTTTATGTCTTATATTTCTACACTTTAAATGGGAAGACCTAGGTTCTTTTTCAAGTTGGGCCTGATTACCAATATGACCTTGGGCAAGTCATTTAAAGTTCCAGAGTCTCAGCTGCCACATTTGTAGAAATTAGTGTATTAGTCTAAGTGATTCTATGTTGCCTTTTAGTTCCTAAATTCTGTGACTTGTGAGATAAAAAATAGTTTTAAAAATTATTATTCTTAAAAATGAAAAATAAAGAAACTGGTTTTACTTTAGATGCCAATATTTATTCTTACCTCAATAAGAATATCAGCACAACAAATAAATGTTAACTGAGGGATGGAATTGTAAGAGAGAGCTAAATAAATAAGATGTTACTCTCCCCTTTATTTCCCGGTTTAGTTTATGTATAATCCTATACATGTGTTTTAATGAATATTTGGTGCCAAATAATTGCATAATTAATCTAAATCATATTAAAACTCTCTTTTCCAAGTTATATATCCTTAACGCGCGCGCGCGCGCGCGCGCGCACACACACACACACACACACACAGTCTTCTGTGCTTGAAATGCACTATTTTACCACCAGGTGGTGCATGTTGACCAACTCTTAAAAAAAAAAAAAAAAAAAAAACTTACCGCCGCTGAGTCGAAACCGACTCACAGCGACCCCTCCTTGGGTTTCCGAGGCGGTATCACTAGGGAAGTATACTGCCCAACCTTCCTTCCGAGGAGTGGCTGGTGAGAAATTCAATTCAGTCTACTGGATTACAGTTTAAGTGGTTTGCGATTTCCCTCTGTGCTTCTGCTGTTAGGGAACTGAGTCAAGAGCACAAAATAGTTTGAAAGTATCTAGTTATTCTTTAGGTACCAAATAATAAAAGTTCCAATTTTATTAAAGCAGAGGAAACGAGCCCTTCTATAATTACATCTGTTGAGAGATAGATGGCTGCAAAACACTCTATCATGTATTTCTCTAAACTGAGAGTGGTAGGAAATAATGTATGATGTTCCTGTGTTCTGAATCCTACCCCCACGAGTTTTGGAGGCAAAAGTAATGAGCATTGTCAAAACTTCTAGGGCTCAATATTCCATTTGTAAAACTACTCATGAGCTACTAAATCTGTGTGATCCACATATAACCAAACAGATTTGAAACCAAGAAACCAACGGATTAGAGTTCAGCATTTGCTATTTAAAATGCTTAGAACTAAAAGAAATGAATAGTGCATTAGTGGAGTAAAGAATACTTATCTATTGCTGTCCAAGAATAGTAACTCATTGTGATTCTATAGGACAGAGTAGAACTGCCCCATAGGATTTCCAAGCCTGTAAATCTTTTGCTGAAGCAGATTGCCATATCTTTCCCCTGCAGAGTGGCTGGTGGGTTCAAACCATCCTACTTTTTGTTAATAGCCGGTGCTTTAACCACTGTGCCACCAGAGCCCTTAGCTCTGGTGCCTAAGACGTTTGACTGCTAACCAGAAGGCTAGAGGTTCAAACCCGCCAGCCACTCCTTGGAAGGAAGACTGGACAATTTACTTCCATAGAGATACCACCACAGAAAGCCAAGGAGGGGTCCCTATGAGTTGGATTTGACTCGATGGGCAGTGAGTTTGGTTTTTTTGGTTTTGGCCACCAGAGCTACTAAATAGTGCTTAGTACCTTATGCATAGAGTTAACTGTAAAATTAAAAACAAAGAATTTTTGATCTATGCACTTTATACTCACTTCCCATTGAAAAAAACTGAAAACTCACTGCCATCAAGTTGATTCCAACTCATAATGACCCCCTTTGGGTTTCCGAGGCTATAAATCTTTATGGAAGTAGATTGCCCAGTCTTCCTTCCACAGAGTGGCTGGTGGGTTTGAACCACCAACCTTCCGGTTAGTAGTCAGATGCCTTAGGTACTACACCCCCAGTACTTCCCATTATACTCTATTAATTGGACATAATGATTCTAGTAATATTAATGAATTGGTTAATTTCAGCAAGGGGCCTGTATTAGGGGGTTAATATCAGTTTCCTTAGTAGAGAATAATTAATTCAAGATGGGACCACAACCTTTTTCACAAGCATCACAGCTGCAACAGAGAACCCCACTTAAACCTCACATATCCCCTTCTTAGACTTCAAGAAGGCATATCTGGGGAGAAAGAGTAACTTCAGAGATCTCTAGAGAGGGTTGTTGTTGTTGTTGTTATTTGCCATCAAGTCGGCCCCGACTCATAGCGACCCCTCCTTGGATTTCCGAGGCAGTATCACTACGGAAGTAGGATTGCCCAACCTTCCTTCCGAGGAGTGGCTGGTGGGTTTGAACTGCCAGCCTTCTGGTTAGCAGTCAAGTGCCTTAGGCACTATGCTACCAGAGCTCCCCTAGAGAGGGTAACCCTCTGAATTTCTATTTTTTAAGTTCTTAGCTCTGGTAGCATAGTGCCTAAGGCACTTGACTGCTAACCAGAAGGCTGGCGGTTCAAACCCACCAGCCACTCTTCAGAAGGAAGGTTGGGCAATCTTACTTCTGTAGTGATACTGCCTCAGAAACCCAAGGAGGGGTCATTATGAGTCGGGCTGACTCGAGGGCACATAACAACAACAACAGCAGTAATAATATTGACAAGAATCCACTGCTTGTATTGTAATGTACATTATAGGTATAGACTAAGCATCTGGGGCTATTGTGAATCAGAATTGCTCCAGGGAAACTAATGGCAACAGGAACAGAAACACTTGGAAGATTTGTCTTTCTTTTGTGGTTTCTAGATTGATTGAGTTTGCTTCATTTTCCATTGGAAAAACCTTTATCTCTTAAGTTTTAAGTTTGTAAAACAAAGGATTCTTCAATCTATTCCTAAAAAGTAACTTTTTGTCAGTTTATATCTTTTGAAAGTAAAGGTTAGCTCTGGGATTTTTCAGAAACAATGCTTAATACTCATTCTAATTTGATTTGGAGACAGAATATAAGGAAAGAATACAGAGAATTTATTTCAGTGCGTATCAAAGAGACATAGACAGGTGTTGAAGCAATAATTAACCACTTAGTTTAAAGTTAAGTAGGCTCCAGTATGTCCTTTAGTCCATGAAGAGATAAAGAATAGAAAATGACTCTTGCTTAATGAGTTTTACATTTCAATACTTATTTTTAAACCTATGCCTCATTCATAACTATGTATAATATAATCAATAGGAGAAAACATTAAACATTTTCATTTCATACTACCCTGTACCCCCACCCTCCCACTGTCCATCTCCTCCCAAAAATATAGGTAATCATAGTTATTAGTTTCTTGTGAATCTTTCTAGAATTTTCGTATCATATAAAGGCAAATTGCATATATATTTTCCCCTTTTTACACAAAAAGTAGCATACCCTACACAATGTTTTGCATCTTGCTCTTCACACTTGATAAAAATATAAATTTCCATCTTAGTATTTAGGAAGCTTCTTCCCTTTTTTGTTTTATAGCTTCATAGCATTCTATTGAACAGGTATATCACATACATTTGACCAACCCCCTGTTAATAAGCGTTTAATTTTTTTCCAGTCTTTCCATTACCAAAAAAAAAGCTGCCATGAATAAAATTATGAATGTGTCATTTTATACTTACAAATTTTGTCTGTACAATGAGTTCTGAAAAGAGAAATGTCTGGACTAAATGGTGTGTGTATTATTTTTTATAAATGTTGCAACTTACTCTCAATAGAGGTTGTTGTACTCGTTTTAATACCCCACCAGCAGTTTATGAGGGTACCTATTTGTTCCAGAGCATTGTCAGACTGGTGGACATTTACAAACCTGACAGGTGAAAATAGCATTTCCTTATAGTAATCTATTACATTTCTCTTCCTATGAGAGAAGGTGACCATCATGACAAAGACTATAAAGAAAAAATATAGAGCTATGAGTGTGTATAATAGGATTTCCCTGTACAAGTGCCAGTACAGTTGCAATTTAAGGCCTAAATGGGAGTTACCCACATGAAAAGGTACTTGTGCCATGTACAGATACCCTGTATCACAAAACAAAAGGCTTATCCTTTTCAAGAACTAAAACATGAGTGTGGCCCTACCAGAGAGAATTAAAAGGAGTGTGATTCATGAAGAGACTAGAGAGGTTTCAGGCCATGCAGATCCCTATGGGCCATGCTAAAGAGTTTAATCTCTATTCTAAAAGCAACAGGAAGCCATCATAGTATGTTAAGCAGAAGAATATATGATCAGATTAGTGTTTCCTGTTTTTCTGTTCTAAACCAAATTTATTTAATTTCTCTCGGTAGAATGTTGTTGTTGTTGTTGTTACATGCCGTTGAGTCGGACCGGACTAATAGTGACCTCTCCTTGGGTTTCAGAGGCACTATCACTATGGAAGTAGATTGCCCCATCTTCCTTCTGAGGAGTGGCTGGTGGGTTTGAACCGCCAGTCTTCTGGTTAGCAGTCAAGTGCCTCAGGCACTATGCTACCAGAGCTCATAAGATTCTTAAATATTAAATTGTGTTGATTTTTCCTATTTTTTTCTATTCATGTTTTCAAAAAGATAG